ACAGAATTAATGACAGAAAACTTCCCAGAGGGGAAGAATTTGACATTCAGATAACTGAGGCATATAGGACCCCAAATAGCTACAATCAAAAAATCTACACCTAGACATATAGTAATCAAGATCCCAGAAACCCAACAGAAGAACAAAATACTACAAGCAGTAAGAGAAAAGAAACAAATCACATGCAAAGGAAAGCCCATCAGAATCACAGCAGACTTCTCAACACAAACCCTTAGGGCAAGGAGAGCCTGGAGTGAGATATTTCAAGTACTAAAAGAGAACAACTTCCAACCTAGACTGATATATCCTGCAAAACTCTTTCAAAATGGATGGGGAAATAAGATACTTCCAAGACAAAGAACACCTGAGAAACTACACGAATACCAAACCAGCACTATAAGCAATTCTAAACAATATCCTAGAAAAAGACAATGAAGGTAACAACACCATGAGGCCCAACAGAGCAAATCAAATAGGCAAGGCAAGAAACTAAAAGGAGAAGGTGAAAAAGTAAAAAGAGTCAACAAAAGGCCATAACAGGACAATAATAAGTCAGTACATATCAGTTATAACCATCAATGTCAATGGCCTCAACTCACCAATCAAGAGAAACAGACTGGCAGAATGGAATAAGAAGCAAAATCCAACAATATGTTGTATACAAGAAACACACCTAGTGCAAAAAGAAGCCCACAGACTGAAAGTGAAAGGATGGAAAAACAGTTCTCCATGTGACAGGAGCCCAGAAAAAAGGCAGGGTTAGCAATCTTATTTGCAGACAAAGTAAACTTCAAACCAAAACTAATTCTAGTATTATAGATATAAGACAGTACTGTATCATACCTCTGTGAATGTAAAATATCTTGTACCTGCTTTATGATACATAGTAGTGACTGTGCTTTATCAGAGCTATTTTTAATGAAGTTATTCTAGAATGTTCTCTTTCCAGATGATGATTAAGATGCTAATAAAAGAAATGGTGCCAGATACTACAACAGCAACAGAACTTTGCTGTTTTCTGGGTATTATTCTTCTCTTTGTTTTTTTGTTTTTGTTTTTTTAATGGAGTGTGATGAATGTCTATAATTTTGTTCAGATGACTGCAGAACCTGGAAAAGCTGTTGCTGCTATTGATGCATAACATACTGCTATTATTGGTCTTATTATATAAATATAAAATATATATATATATAATTTGAATTTTTGGAAACTTTAACTGTGCTGTCAACTGGAAAAAGTTATCCCAATTTACTGTGTTGAGTTGGTATTGTACAAAAATTAACAGCCATATTGGTCTAGAAATGTTCATTTTTTTTTTCCATTTCTACAGGGGTAATGCACTGTATTAAATATGTAAGGTCATATCTACGTGGGTTTGATTACAGAAACTAATAAAGTATTTTCTAAATAATGAAAAAAAGAATAAGATAAGACTACAAGAACAAGAAGCAACTTAAATATGTTCAAGGACCATTTTCATCTTCAGAATTAAGGATTATTTTAATTTTATATCATTGTCTTTTCTCTTTTATTTTCCTTTTTAGTTTTATTTTTAGGATTCCCTATTTTTAATGTTCCTATAGAGATTTCTTTAACTGAAATACCAAATAGTTTCTCTGGTGTGAAAAACTTAATAGTACACAAGATCCTAATGAGATAATTAGTAATGTGAAATAGGAAGTAAAGGGCTAAAGGTGTAGGGAAAGTGGGAATGGTGGGGGAAAGGTAATAAGGGAGAGGAAAAAATAGAGAAAATGAAAAAATGGAAATAAAGTGTTTGTAAATGGGGAAGGGAGGAGGGGGTGAAGGGAGGGCAGGGACAAAGGGAAAAAATGAGAATCAAGACCTATCATGTAAAGGTACAGGATCCCAATAATGAATGTAATTGTATTGTATACCTAGAATGTACCAATAAACTCAATAAAAAAATTTTAAAAAGATCTATCTATCTATCTATCTATTTTTTTGGTACTGGGGATCGAACTCGGGCCCTTGTGATTGAGAGGCAGGTGGTGGCATCACTGAGCTAAATCCCTGGCCCTAAAAATGATCTATCTATAGATCGGGATTCCTGTAAAAGGCAAGAAAAGGACTATGTTCTATTCAGTTCCCTATACCCAGTGTCTTATACACAGGCATGGTCAGTAGAATGCAATGTGTGCTATATTCAGAAAGATCTGCATTAAAATCCTAGCTGTATGAGTTGGGCATTTACTTAACCTGAGCATTGTTTTTTAAATCCATACTGCTTACCTCAAAGGTTTGTTGTTGAATTAAATAAGATAATGCATGAATACTCACCACAATCATGCCAGGCACTGTGCTTAATATATTGTGCCTATCCTTATTACCACTAGTATCATAAATATTTGTTAATGAGATAAAAGGCTATTTGGTGACACGACAAAGGTTTGGTGTGAGGGAAGGAGGAGAGAAGAGAACAGAACAGAAAAGAACAGAAGAGACAGGCAGACTCTTGGAGTTAAAGAGTATAGCAGCATCCTGCAACAGGAGCAGGGATCAGTCTCCAGGGCACAACTTTCTCTGAGATCTCTTTCAAAGAAGAATGAAAAAAAAAAGGATAATTATAGGAACTTAGAGGAACTCAGATTAGGAGCCTTCAATTTAAGTTATATTCTTTGTTGATCTGAGTCAATGCCAACTATTCAACATCTCTGAAAAAACAATTTGTAGTAAGTCTTCACTTGCAAGATCAAACTTTAGGACATTGTTACAGGAGATGAACTAGACAGCCAAAAGAAGTGCCTTTTCTTCATGAACCTCTATGACAGGACAGAGACGAGGTGTGTCCAGGCTTCTCAACCTGGGTACAGATGATAGTTTGGGTCCAATAATTCTTCCTTGTGGGTGCTGTCCTGCGCTTTGAAGGAGGTTTGGCAGTATCCCTGACCTCTATCAAGTTGCCAGCAAAAACAATCCTCACCCCAACTTGTGAAACCTCAAAATGTTTCCATACAATGAATGCCAAACTTGCCCTGAAGGGGCAAAACTGTACCAGGTTGAGAAGCACTATGCTAGAATCAATCTGATGACTGTTGCTTCTGGAAAACTGGCTGGATACTCTGACCCTTAACTGTCAAGTGGCAAGTCAAGCAGTGGACTGGGGTTACAGAATCTCCCACTAGAAGGGACAAAAGACAGGCATGGCACATGCATGCAAAATGATGAATGCAGATAGCTTGGGAAACAAAGCACAAAGACATTGCATAATAGGCAAATCAGTATCTAAGACATTGACAATGGGTCTGCCCAGCTCTTGGGAAGCTGAGGATGCCAACTTATAGTTAGTGACCAGTGAAATAAGGGCACTATTTTAAAAAAAGAAAAGCAGAGCAGGTCTGGGGGCACTGACCTTGGAAGGCAGGAGACTGTGGTGCCACCACTGTCACTGGTTTGGTCATTGGGGCAGATGAGAAGGGGTCCTCAGAGGGTGTGCTGAAGGCATTGGTGATCTGTGAGCATAGGGAACTGATGCTCTCTGCTTCTCCTTCTACCTCTGGCACTGTAAGGCAGACAGAAAATGGTTCCACACAGAAAAATGGAATAATTCTGAACTGACAGTATGATACCAGCTGGCATTTTATGCTGTATCTTTTTGTGGAAGGAAAAGGCTCAACTTTCTGCTGAGGCTATAATAGTTTCCAAAAATTTACTACCATTTCATTGGCTTTTCTAATGGAAAAGTATAAAATTGTCAAAAATGCATGTACAGAGATACATATTTTTTCCTTAAACATCTCCAAATTTATTTCATTTTCTTGTGACACTGTTACGAATTTAATATCCTGTCTCTTTTTGTGCCAACATATTCAACTACCTAGATCTTTTTGGAAGACACTGCAATCTATTTGCCTTCTAACCAGTTCCCATGGCTGTGGTTTGAGTTAAATTCTGGAGCCATTAAGTAATTCAGAAAAATGGGGTAAAGTCCAGGCCACCAGTGGATGTGCAGTGCTTTTCTCTGCAATAAACTAACCATGTCATCACTCATTTTTCTCTAAAGTCTCTAGCATCAAGTATGTCAACCATGATAACATGAAAAAGTGAACTTAAGTGTAGGACTCTGGAGTTTTTGTTCTTAATACTGACTCTAGGATACTTTTGTAACACCGAGAAAGCTAATTATGTGTGCCGAACCTTTGCTCATCCATGAAAAGAGAATAGTTTTTGTTCTCTACCTGTTTCCCCAGAGGGAAACTGAAATGAAGTACTTGAAATATCTGGGGTTTCAGATTTTAAAGGCATTAAAAGCTGAAAAGACCTTCAGTGATTATTTAGTCCAACTGCTTGTTAGGCCTAGTTTTATCTGTCAAAAGAACTCACCTCTCTGTACCTTTGTACCACTATCAGTAGGAGAGCCTACTGAGACAGAACATCCTCATACTCTATAATCAAATACTTTGACATGTTTCAGAGGGAAGTAAAATAGGGCTCATGAAAGTATTGGCCAGATCTAACACTTTAGCCCCGGATCACACGAGGATAGAGGTTAGAGGCTGGCTCAGCCAAAGAGGCTACACAAAGGCCTGTGTGGCAGTTTTGAAAGAAAGATAACGAATGAATGTGAACAAGTCCACTGCCTCTGATAAACAACAGATCTTAGATTTATACAAGAGACCCATTTGGAGTTTCCGTTCTGTGAAGCCAACCAGCCACAAGAACAATAACACTTATCCATTTCTTCTGGTACATCTGCTGGTAGTGCTATTTAATTGTACATGTTTCTAAAGCCTTTTTAATTAATTATCTCTTGGGTCCCAAGTGGCAGAATAAGAATGGAAACTTGAAACCTTTAATGTTTGGAAATAGCCTGGCCGAGAGGTAATGTGGGACATCAGGACAAACCATAAACCTTATGGCTCAGACTAGAAATTCCATCTATTTGTTGAAGAGACATTAATGATTCACATCCTCTCCACAGACCTTTGTTTTCTCTTTTTTGTCACGAGAAATTACATAAGATATAACCACCAATGAGCCTCAGAGCAAGTGGGTGGTTTAATGGGATCTGTGTCACCACTAGAAGTGATGACACTGCTTCTGTGCCAGGGAACCATGGCGGGAGCCAGGTGCACGCTGCGTTACCTGCATTTTTAATGGGGAAATCAGTCTTCCTCTGCATGGTGGAAGGCAACTCGTTGATGCGTAGGGATAACTGGCGTTTAAAGGGTGACATCTTCTGGCTAAGAGCAGGAAATCCTCGGAAAGAGCCCTGGCGAGCAAGTTGTTCAATCGGTGCGTGGCGGCGCGGAATGGCATGAGGGTTGTTCATCTCCAAAGAGGCAGTGGTGTCCGAAGCGGGAGAGGTGGGAGAGGATGGGGACGGGGCAGTGTTGCCAGCAGCCACTGATGAACCAGCAGCTGTCTTATCTGTTTCAGCTCAAGAATCAAGAGCAAGAGGACCTTAGCAATGATCTTCAAATATTCTGAATTTAGAGCTGAGTACTACAAAAAACCTCATCCTTCCCAATGTGTCCTAAGACATGTTAGAAGCAGTATTTGTCACATTGCATATTTATGAAACAAATATTAGATCCTTTATTCTCATGCGGTGACTTATAAATTAAGGCTTTCAACGCAATTTTTAAAATCCAGTTCCAATTAACTTCTCGTGTGAGGTCCTTTAAAGAATGATAATTCATGGTTTTCAGTGTTTTGTTTGGGGGGTGACTTTGAGAGTGGCAGAGCCAGAAAGCTCTGAGTTTTTAAGTGTCAAAAATCTTTAAAGCATAAACAATGTACTTGTGGTTCATTTGAATAAAAGAATGCAAGAGGAAAATTTTAAATTGGATTAAATCTAAATATATGACTGCTTTCATGTGAGTACAGTGGAGTCCCATTCTTGTGTGAGTGCATGTGTGTGTGCATGATTCTGTGTACTGAACCTAGGGCTTCTGCACTGAACAACATCCCCAGACTTGAGACAGGGCTTTCTAGGTCACTAAGTTGTCCAAGCTGGGCTTGAACTTGTGATCCCCTCCTGCCTTAGCCTCCTTGAGGGCTAGGATCACAAGTGTGAGCCACCGTTCCACTGTGATTGAGGCAAATCTCTACCCCACACTTCATAATCCATGTAGATTTGAAGACTCGATCTCTGTGTCAGATGCTGTGCATAGCGGTATTACTTGGTGGTATCAAAGAATATGCCTTCCGAGGTGGGACTCTAGCTCAGTGGAAGAACACTTGCCTAACACGTGTGAGGCCCTGGATTTGATCCCCAGCACCACATGCACATGGCCTTCGGTCTGAAAATTACCATAGCACACAAAATAATAGCCATGCTGGGAATTTTCAAGAAAAGCTAGCATGACTTGTTTTGAGAGGGGATTTCATTGGTCTCTAACTCCTGGGCTCACATGATCCTCCTGTCTCAGCCTTCCAAGTAGCTGGGACTATATAAGCACACACCACCATGCCTGGCCAGCATATGTTTTATTCTTTGCTATCCTGGCACAAATGTTTATAAGAAATTAGAAAAAAAATCACTCTTAACCGAGTGCAGTGGAGTATGCATGTAGTCTCGGCTACTTAAGAGGCACCTAAACCCAGGAAGTCTATGTCCAGCTTGGTCAATATAATATAATATCGGCCTGACCGCCACACCCCCTCACCATCAACAATTTCAATAAATACTATCTATGTATGCTTTTTGGGAGTTCTTAAGAATTAGAGCTATTTGGGTCAGTATTAATGATGTTGTTCCAAAATGGCTGGTTTAGAAACTAGGAGGACATAGTGAAAAATTAATAAAATTATATTAATGTCTATTAGTTATACCTATTTATGCACCTCTTGTTGGTTATGTACAAGAATACAAACATTTTTCCCAAGCACTATTAGTTTTAAAATGTACCCAACCAGCTAGATATGGTGGGGCATGCCTGTAATCCCAGCACTCAGGAGGCTGAGGCAGGACGGTTGCTGTGAGTTCATGGCCAGTCTCGGCTACACAGTGAATTCAAGGCCAGTGTAAACTATATAGCAAGACCACGTCTCAAGAAACTTTAACAAAACAAAAAACCAACCCAACTTTACAGACTATTGAGTAACTCTAACATTTGCACAGATATTTCTGCTATGATGCCATGTGTATCTAACTTGAATTTTAAACCTAGCAGGATTCTGGGAAAGAGTTAGGGGCTCACCCCTTCAAGCCTATCAAGTTAAATGACTAAAGCATTAGAAATTACAGCAATAATTTAATGAATACAGTATCACAGTTAGATCTCTGCCAACATCATAGTCTGGGCTCCCTTTGTATTCCTAAACCCCAGGGCTTGTGTTTCTTCCTTCAAGGTGTAGGTCTTTGATGACATTTGCTTCTCATAGAGATCAGATACATTAAAATTAAAAATCTGTTCCAGGATAGGGCTGGGGGCAAGGGATGTCACTCTCACCTTCCCCAGGGGAGCTTACTATGCAGACATTCCTTGTTTAAGGACCTACTTGGTTAACGACTGTTCAACCTGAGAACCAAGGTGTTCTTTTTGGACTTATGACCCATCTTTTTTGTTCGTATAGTTCTGTTTATCTTGTTTATTCAGTATTGTAATTTTTGCTGATTGTACTGCATAGTACAGTACTATAGTTTTATGTCCTGTTATATATTACAGTACTGCATGTAAGAGTTATGCAAATAAAAGCAAAGTCATCAAGTTGGAGTTCCTCTGGCCATCTCTTTGTTCTGAATATTGTAATGTATGTACTATATACAATTCCTCATGTAGCAACCAACTTATTTAATGACATAGTTGCAGGAAGAGAACTCCCTCATTAAATGAGGAGTGTGTGTAATGCAAAGAGTAAACATTTTTAGGCCACTAACTAGCCATTCTAACGGAAGACACTCCTGTAAAATATTCAGCTCTGTTATTAAGGTTTTCATCTATTTCTAAAGTCATTTATTTTCATGGGGGAAGGGAGAGCTGCTGGAGATAGAGCCCAGGGCCTTACATATGTCAAACAAGTACTATGACTAAGCTACACTCACAGTCCCAAGGGTTCTCTCTATGAGACAGTCTGTCTCTGACAGCTTTAAAAATATTTAGCTGTTGGGGAAAACTGCATTAAATAAACATAGTGTGTAGTAGAACACATTGTACCTTTCTTGGCATCTTGCATTTGTTTCATAATCTCCTCTCTTTCTGCTTGTTCTGTAGCAGTTGTGACACGAAATGATCCTTCTCTTGTAAAAGTGGTCCGACTGGCATCAAAAGTAGCAGTCACTCCACATTCCTTCTCTCGCTTTTGCTTACGCTCTAGACAGGCTGCAAAAGCACAGCCTACTGCATGGCTCAATCTTTCACCCTGTAGAAAGCAAGGTTTTTAAATCTTTTTAAGAGTCACAAAACCAACAATTACATATACTCTTACCTGTTTTTACACAAGATCAAATGTTGCAAACTCCAGCTTAGAACTAAGCTTTAATATATCACCACCTTCAATTTAGATAAATAGTATTAGAAAGTTCTTATGAAACTTCAATTATGTTAACTGTTACAGTCCTTAGGTAAAGTGATCACAGCAACCTGTGTTTTTGTGAATAGACATAGGGAGGTCCTTATTACTAAGCCTCCATTTGTCACGTCAGCTCTGGCCACCATCAGCTTAGGACACACTGCTCAAAGGTCTAAGCCTTTACACATAAAACTCTAGCTGTGGGCTGGGGATTTAGCTCAGCGGTACCGCGCCTGTCTTGAAATCACAAGGTCCTGAGTTCGATCCTTGGTACCAAAACAAAAAACAAACAAACTCTAGCTGCTCTTCAGGCAAAGACTTGCAATATGTAACAGCATTTCTAAGAAACTATGGAGAAGGCAGGGCAAATTTCAGGCACTTTACATTCTCAAAAGCATAGGGAAAAAAACCCCCCAAACTTAAAACTTCTAATAAATACAACTCCTAATTAAAGATTTAAAGGAAAGCTTAGCTTCCTGTTTCCCTTTTCTGAATGCTTCCCATCCCTGCCAAGCAACCTGCTCACTGAAGGCCTCAGTGCATTTAGACTTTCCCTCATGCCTCCCCTATCTTCTTTTAGATCTCTCATACCCCCAACTCTACCTCCCAACCACACACAGGTGAAAGAGAAAATACGTTTTCACCTACACTCTCTACTTACAAATTAAACAGCTAAACGGATTTGCTTGAGCATGAGAACAGACAGGAGCTTATATAAATACTGCTTTATAATATACTCAATTATCCAATTTAATAAGTCCAATGGATGTATTTTACCAGCGTTATCTGTATTTTAAATCATATCCCTAACTCTAGAACAAACAGGGGATGATATAGTAACGGTCAACGTCATTCACAGTAAGAAGAGATATTTGGGACAGAGAGGCTTTCATGGTATTACTTTACAAAATCAAACCTATGTTGGTAGCTGCTCCTTTGTATATCTGTGAACAAGTTATTTCATTGGATTTTTACATGCCAGTATCAGATATCAGAAGGAAAGGTAATGTTTAAAATGCTTTTTGCCCTAAGATTTTATATGACTATGATCCTTTTTTGACTGTTTAAAGACTGTTAAGACTTACTCTGTGAATTCACATAATTTTCAACTTCCCAGTAGGATAAATATAAAGCTAGGGTGTTGAATCCATTTGCATTTGAGCAGAGCTCTATTATGAGGACAAAGTTATAGGCCACAAAGATTTATTATTTCTCTTAGGCTGGGGGAGAAGTTATTTTTGGTACTGGGGCTCAAACTCAGGCCCTTGCACTTGTGAGGTAGGCGACAGAGCCACTGAGCTAAATCCCTGGCCAACCCCCGCCCTTTTTATTAATGACTTGGGTATTTCATAATAAATATTTGCCTTCAAGAGACTCAATTTTTTTTGTTCTTGTTTTGTTTTTTGAGACAGGGTCTTGCTATATATATATATCTTTATCTATATTTGTATCGTATATTTACCTCAGGCTGGCCTTGGACTCACTATGTAGCCTAGGGTGGCCTCAAACTTGCAACCTTGCTGGGATTACAGGCATGCACTACCATGCCTGGTAAGAAAACACTTTTACCAGAGTGTAAACTACCTCAGAAAAAGAAAGAAGTCTTAAAAGGCACTTCCAAGAGCAGCTCTAGCATCATGTATTGCTGAAAGGGTAGTGGAAACTGCTTGAGATGACCTAGAAGGAGCTCAGCTGAGAATACTCATTGTTGGACTCACCGTGTCCTTGACAGCCATGAAACAGTGACAGATCCAGCGCCGAGTGGTGCCATCACGGCAAATATAAGAGAAGGCTCTGTCAAAGTTCCTATCTGGGGCACAGAAAGAAACTTTCTCTATTGTCTGGTCAACTATGAGGTCCTAGAAAATGGGAAATACGAGGGAAAAGAATACTTATGAGGTTATTCAGTCAGTCTTCTCAGAATTCACACAGAATGTTTACGTCATAATGCAGTATCTCTAATCTGATGCAGCTTGGCTAGGGAACAGGCATTCTGCATCCAGGAGTTTAAAGACTGAGTATCTGACTTAGAAGACATCCACTTGCCCAGGTGGCTTTCTCATTTTATCTACAGCTTCTAAAATGTATGTTGGTTGATTCTAGTTTCAGATCTTTCATGGGAGATGTCATGTACAATTTGACAACATATATAAAAATCAATATATTTAACCCTTTTGGATTGTTTGCAAATATAAACAAATAAAGACATGATAGCCATGTTCCTACTGTTCTTTTTCTCACTGAGTTTACTGGTACATTTTAGGTATACAGTACAGTTACATTCATCATCGGGATCTTATACCTTTACATGACAGGTTTTGATTCTCATTTTTACGCCTTATCCCTGCCCTCCTTTTACCCCCTCCTCCCTTCCCTATTTACAAATACTTTATTTCCATTTTTTCATTTTCTCATGTTTTTTTTCTTTTCCCTTATTACCTTTCCCCTACCCTTCCCACGTCCCCCACACCTTTAGCCCTTTTCTTCCTATTTCACATTGTCAATTATACCATTAGGATCTTATGTACCATTATAGCTTTTCACACCAGATAAACTATTTGGTATTTACACATGTGTGACTTATTCATTTCACTTAGGAGTATATCCTCAATATGTATCCATTTTCCTATGAATGACTCTAATTTCTCATTCTTTATGGCTGAGCAGTATTCCATTTTATAGAAAAACCACATCTTCTTTATCCAGTCTCCAACTGATGGGCAAATGGGCTGTTTCCAAGTTTTAACTATTAAAAACTCTGCCGCTATAAACATAGGTGCACATATATCACTGTCATATGATTCTTTTGGAAAGATACCTAGCAGAGGGATAGCTGGGTCAAATGGAACCACTAATCCTAGTTCTTTAAGGTATCTCCATATTGATTTCCATAGTGGCTGCACCAGTCTGCACTCCCACCAACAATGGAGAAGGGTTCCTTTCTCCCCATAATCCTGCCAACATTTGTTATTGGTTGATTTCTTGATAGCAGCCATTCTTTGTGGGGTGAGGTGGAATCTCAGTGTAGTTTTCATCTGCATCTCTCAAATGACCAGTGATGTGGAACACTTTTTTGTTCCTACTACTTTTGTTACACTAGTCTGCACAGTAATATATACTGTTCTGCATACTGTTCTTTTCAACTAATAATATATCCCATTCAGTGAAAAATTATTTTTGGTAGTACTGGAGACTGAACCCAGGGTCACACACTGAGCTACATTGTAACCCTTTTTATTTATTTTAAAAATTTGAGAGAAGGCCTCCTAAGTTGCTTAGGCTGGCCTTGAACTTGCAATTCTCCTGTCTCATCCTCCCTCAGGTAATGTATTTTTTCAGGTGCAGAACTTCCATTTGGTCCTTTTTAAGCTTATTTTCTAAGATTTTCTAGCTATTCACTCAACATGAATATATTTTTCTTTACATCACTGAGTATGGTTATAATATCCACTTTAAAAGTCTGCCAATTCCAATATCTAATTCAGGTGTGTCCAAATTGTAGCCTGGGGAGTTATATGGCTCTGAACAGTTGATAATGCGGCCCTACAAGATCGACTTTTTAATTATGTGATTCTTAGCAACATTTTTCATGACCTGACTGTGTGCTGCTTGAGCATGGAATGCACAGGGTGACTAGGCTCACCTCTTGGGCCCAAACACAGTCAGATCAAAACTCTCATGTATCAAGTGTCATGCTCTTGTGCAACCTGGTGAATGAAATGATTACTAGTAATAGTATTTCAACCTATTTACATATGGTATATGTCTGTGAAAACAGGCATTTCTTGTTAATAACAAGACATACCAATTTTCCTTTTTAGTTGTTAACCTAGGGCTTATGTTATTTTGTAAAATAATATGTTAAAAGTTTTTTAGCAGCTGTGGTATGGAGGTATAAAAATGTACCAAAGTTGTTTTGCTCACCATTTTGGTTAGAATTACATATGCAATATCATGAATGCTAAAATGGTTATTAACTTATGGAATATACAGAATTGAAATCAGACATTCAACTCAAACAAGTATCTGATTATTTCCCTACTATACTTTTATAAGAACTGTTGTTCCAGAGAAAAATAGCCCTTGTTTTACAATCATCCCTTATTCATACCACCACTTTTTGGTAAGCATGTTCCTACCTTTATTACATATATGTAATGTGTACATATGTAACATAATAACAAATGTGTATATTTGTGAACTATTTTCAAGGATGAAGCATATAAAATATAAATTAGATTAAAACTGTTTTCTGACAAGCACTCTGAGAACTAAAACTTGCAACTACTTCCATAAACTACTCATGTTACAAAGTCAGGATCAAACACCCTACTGATTTTAGGTTGTCCTACTTTTTAAAATGTTACAATGAAAAATATAAAAAGGGAAGTTGGTTAGTTATTTCACAAGCTGCCCACGATAATTCCTCTTTACTCAATTTGGCCCAGGCCAGCCACAAGGTTGGGCACCCATGATCTAGGTCATCTTGAGGTTGGGTCTCTATTGTTTTCTGTGAGAATGAGTCACACTTTTCTGTTTATTTGTATGTTGAGTAATTTTGCACTGCATAGTAGACATTGTGCATATTATATATGGAGTGTCTGGATTTTGTTATATTCCTTGGAAGTGTTCTTTTTTTGGTTTTATCGGGTAACATTATATACTCAAACGGGTAACTCCATATTTTGGCCAGCGGCTCAAATCTGTTTCTATATTATTAGCTAGGCTATCTACAGTCTGCTTAGCAGCTATGTGGTGAAGGGACCAGAGATTTGGGCGGAATTTATGTACCTTCTTTGGCTCTCTCACAGCCAGGATTTCTCTTTCATTTTCTTGTGGCTGTTGTTGTGTCAAATTCTGTCTTCTGGTATCTTAAACTAGAAAGACTAAGAATTTTCTATTGTAGTTGGGGCTACTTTGTATGGTACAGACTAGTACTGTTCTCAGGGTAGAAACCTGAAATGGGAAATCACCCAGTGCTATTTCTTTCTTCTAAGTGTCAAATTCCCTCCAGAATCTAACTGCTTTGTGTTATTCTCTACTGCCTTCAAATGATTGCTTTGTTTTGTTCAAAATTTATAGTTGTTTTCAGGAAAGTCAGGTCAATATGAGCTTTATTCAACCATTGCTAGAAGTGAAACATACTGAAAATACTTTAAAAAATTGTTTTTCTTAATATAAATTCATTTTCTATCCACAGGTAAATGAATTTATCCCCTTTTCTAAGAAACTATCCAAGAATTACCTATCATACTCTTGAGTAGGGACACTATTAGAACCAAAACAGGCATGAGTGGGGAGACAGGACAAGAAAATTTGACAGTTTCTTGATTAAAGGTTAAGGACTTTAAATTTTGACTTCTATACCATGGTAAATTTGTGCGATCATGGCATGGCCTTAATATAAACACTGATTCTAACATTGTATTAGTCCCTACTTACAACTAAACACAAACATGGGAAGAGAGTGACACCCATCAATTGCCCATGTGGAAAGAACTAAATGAATAGAAGTAGCCACCAGGGGGACAGTAGCACTTCCCTCTACAGCACTGTATAAAACAACTTAAAGGCAGCTATATTAAAAACAAACAAACAAACAAACAAACAAAAAACACTCAAAATGATCAGGCAAGTTGCCTAAGAAAACTGCTCTTTTTCATCAGACTTTCTCCCTGTCCAGTGACATTTGGATTTTGTTATGTTTTTGTACCAGGGGACAAACTCAGGACCTTGCACTTGCAAGGCACAGTGCCACTGAGCTAAATCCACGATGACATTTGCATTTTTTGAATGCAATAATTTTTTTGACTTCAGGTCTCTTATAAAATTTTAGTTTCTAGACACACTGTCTTTGTCTCTAATTTTAGTCATTTAGCATTAATTTTTCTACATAGGATTAGAAATATTGTTTAGAGGGCTGGGGATTTAGCTCACTGGTTCCACCACCTGCCTCAAAAGTGCGAGGACCTGAGTTCAATGCTGGGTACCAAAAAAAAAAAAAAAAAGAAAAAAAGAAATATTATTTAGATGTTTTATGCTACAGAATAATGATATTGTTTGGATCCTAAATAAATGTAAACTAATGAGCCATTCACTAGTGCTTAAAACTTAATTTAAATTGGGTTTTCAGTTCAATAGGTTAATTAGTTTGTCTAGCACTTTCAAAAATGTTTTCTTAAGGAGTAAGAAAAAAATTCAGATGTGGCTGGTCATCTTTTAAAAATTTTTAACTATGGAAAAGGATGCATCATCTCTTACATTTGTGGGGGTGAAACTTTTAAAAATACATAGAAACAAAAATAGAACTCAGAGTTTCAACATTAAATGTTAACAGTATATGTTTCGTTTTTGTTTTTGTGGTACCGGGGATAGAACTCAGGCCCTTGTGTTTGCAAGGCAGGCTGTGGAACCACTGAGCCAAATCCCCAGCCCAATATTAACAGTATATTAAACATGCTATGTGCTACACAGAATAAAGCATTGAGAAAATCCTACTTTTCAAGAGGTAAATGAGTAAATTGGTATCTTGAACTTTAAATAGTATCCTGAAAGACTGTACTCTGGACAAAGTGAAAGGATATAGAGTCATTCAAACAGATTAATAGCATTATATTTATCATTAGAGATAAAAAAAAATCACATGAGCAGTCGTAAACTTATAAAAATCTTACCTTTGTTTTTTCATCCACAACTCTGAGTCCATCTGCTGATACCCACAGGACTGCCTTCACTGCTTTCTTTCCAGTCTTTTATGAGAAACCAAAAAAAGGAGAGGAAGGGGGAGACATATATAATATTTAAAAAAGGTAACCTTCCGCAGAAAACACTGACCACTGCCTTCAAAAGTCACAAGTACAGATGAAATCCAAGTTCAGGAGGGGTGCCCAAAGCCAGATACTCAAACCAAACTGCAGAAACATTCAGGAAAAAAACAAGCCAAAGCCATTATTTTAGGAACACAATGCAAAACAATAAGAAGTAAGGGGAAAGGAATAAATGGAATCAAAACCAAGATATCACATTCCATAAAGGGCAAAGAATTCATAAGTAGATTCTTCACCCATTAAAAAAATCAAAACAACCAAGAGTCAGGTAAGTATTAAATACATAAGGAGTTACACCACAAGTAGCATCTACAAGTGTATTTAGCATAGGAAGTAACAGCTAAGTCTAAATTGAGATGCTGACAATTCTATCCTCTGTTGCCAGTGAGTACAGCAGGACCCTTGGTTACCCAACATTTTCAAGTTTAAAAAGTCAAGAATTCTTCATTATTCTATTAACAAAGTTTAAAAACCACTCTTTCACCTCTGAAGATTAACACAAAACTAGTTTATTTTTTATTTGACATTAAGTGCCATGAGGCCATTTTCAGGATACAAGAAGATTTAGACAGTACAGAGAAAACTGTCTTCTAGCATGAGTTTCCTTTTTAATTGTCTGAGAAAGTCTGTGGCATAAAAGAATCACATGAGAACAAGATGATATATTTTTTTCTGTGATGGAACAGAATAGTAACTTAATAATATCCTTTCTTCTTAACTGCTCCAAAGATACGAGCAAAATAAAGCAGAACAAAGGCTGAGAATGAGTATCAGATTATCATAAAAGTACAAATCAAAGGAACCTGATGCTAAGTTTGGAGCAGTCTTCAGAATGGACAAGTGAGATTAACTAGCTGCTTACCAGTGTCCTCTACAGGTGTCCCAGTCTGGGAATCCTTGATATTGGAGCAAGGCCTTACTTAAATGAACTGGTGTAATTCACTTCAGGCGCATTATCTCTACCACCACCACCAGCACCACATATCTGATGGATGCTTATAATTTGTTAGCCAGGGGAAATACCTGAAGAACTCATAGTCCACTGAAAGGTGACACTCAGATAAACACAAAATAAATCATACAATAGCAAGTGGTAGGGTACAGCTGAAAATAATTAGAGTAATGTCAGAAAGAAGGCACAATCAAATCTATCTGTGGAAGTGGGGATGGCTATACAAAGATGATTGAACTAGATCCTGAAATTATTTTTCTTGATGCCCTAGGAAGCGGGTAGGGAGGCAAGGGAGTAACAAGAGGTAGTGAAAATGTAACGGAGAAGAAACATTAGTATGTGTCGTGGAGACACACAACATGAAAGCCTGGGGCTCTGTAAATATTTCAGTGTGGCTTGAAAGTAGGCTGAGTGACTGATGTGCAAGAAGAGAAAAGTAGTAGGAGATACATACTCATAGAGGGTCTTGTTTGCCTCTTAATTCTATGGGCAATTAGAAGCTACTGAAGGAATTTCAACACAATGAAACATTTACTTTTGTTGTTTTGTTTTGTTATTGAGATCTAGCGCAGGGTTTCTTGCACACTAGGCAACCATTGAATCACTGAGTTACATCCTCAGGCCTCCTTTTTTTTTTCTGGTACTACTAGGAATTGAACGTAGGACCTTTGCATGGAGCTATACCCCCAGCTTTTTTTTGAGACAAGGTCTCCCTAAATTACTAAATTGCCCAGGCTGGGCTGGAACTTGTGATCCTCTTGCCTCAGTCTGCACAGTGCTGAGATTATAGGCATGTGCCATTATATCTGGGTCAGATTTGTGTTTTTAAAACATTACCTTGAGAGCAGTGTATAGGGGTTAGAAAAGGATTCACCAGCAGAATGAGTACAGAATCCCAGGTGTGAGAAAATAAGGGTTGAGTTCTCTTTGGTGAGATACATAGGGGATGTGAAGATTTTTGGTAAATGTTATGAAGAAATTGAGGATTCCTCTGGGGTCCTTGATTGGGTAACTGGGTGAAGAGGGTACCATCACCTAAAAGCACAGTACATATGCAAAAGCAAATGTGAGGGGGGAAGAATAGGCTTTCCAGAGTCCATGCAACATCTAGGCAGAGACACTCAATAGACAACTGGATATATAGTATGAAGTTGAAAAGAGAATTTTAAGATGGAATTTTTTATTTGGGAGACATCAATGATTGAAGTAATAAGAGGGCCAATGACACTAGGGAGAAGGGTTTTTAAAAAGTAATGAATTGTTGGAAGTATCATATGTGACCTAATAATCAAGAAAGCCAAGATGTGTCGGGGGATTTAGCTCAGTGGTTCCACTGCCTGCCTTGCAAGTGTGAGGACCCAAGTTCAATCCCCAGTACCAATAAAAAAGAAAGCCAAGATGTGAAAAGTGTCCACTGGATTTAGCAAAGAAGACATATTAGAGTGACAGAAGTTGATATGGTTAACTATAATGTGTCAATATGGCCAGGCTGTAGTTGTCCAGTTGTTTGTCAAACACTAGTCTAAAAGTTACTGTGAAGATATTTTATAGCTATGATTAATATTTATTATCAATTGATTTGGGTAAAGATTAGCTCTCATAATATGGGTAGGACTTGTAGAAGTTAGATTTGAACGAGATAAGTAAATGGAAGTCTATGAATAATAACTTCTCTTTTAAAAGCTTTTCTATAAAGCACAGGAGAGATATCGGGCAGCAGAGGCAGGGCAAAGGACCAAGGAATTTTATACAGTTTGTGATAAACTAGGATGTAAGCCTGAATTCAGTGTTATTATCCCTAAGCTAATAGCCCTCTGAGCTCCCATCTCTTCATCTATGAAATATTTGTAGGTTAAAAGGACTAGAGATTGTATATAGTACCTGAAATTTTTAAATATAGTAAATGACTGATACCCATTTATCATAATACTGCTGTTGATAAACTTTAAAAAACCTCTAATAGTAAAGTTGCTTGAAAGAGTCACTTTTAATGATAATGATGACAATAGGTCAGTTTATATGCTGAACAGAAATTGCTAATGTAAAGATAGTGATGATCGAAGGCCCAGGAAAAAGAGAATAATATACAGAACAAAGTCTTCCAGGAGGGAGGATGGAGAGAATAAGTTTTAGACAGGGATGTCCTTTCCTCTGGAATGGAGGGATGAAGTAAGACTAAAGAGAGCTGAGAGCTGGGTACAGTGGCACACATCTGTAATCCCAGGAGGGTGAGGCAGGATTACTTGAACCCAGAAATTCTTTGAGACAAGCCTGAGGAAAAGAGAGAGAAGAGGAGAGGAAGAGATTGTCTGGGGTTTGATTTTGGCTCTGCAACTTACTTTTATGACCAAGGGCAAGTTATTTACCTTCTCTATGCTTCAGTTTCTACATCTGTATAATGATGTTAATAATCTCATGTAACTTGTGGGATTAATGTATGTAAAAGGCTTAGAACTAGGCTGATCATATACTTTACCCTCCCTTTTAAAACAAAAGGGGGGCTATATTAAAACCTACAAGCAGGTACCACACTGGGGCTGTTCCAGGCAAAATGGGACAAGTCACCCCCACTGACAAAGGTAGTGCTCCTATTTAACAGATACTCATGTAACATTTAGTACTTTGCTGGAAGGTAGGCTCCATGGGGTCAGGAGTTTTTTCCATCTACTATATTGTTCACTGCTGTATCTCAGAGTCTGAACATTTCATGGGAAAAAAAGAGTTTAAGAAACATTTATTGAAAAAAGAAATTTGCTATCTATTGTAGGTTATGTAAGACAATGCCAGAGAAGATTGCTAGATGACAATGAAAATCCTGTGTAAGATATTTAAATTCGCAGTTTTATCCATCTGTATGTTGTATAATTATAACCTGCAATACTCAGCATCTAAGGCAACCGAAGGACAACTTCAAGTTTGGAAGACTGAAGGTGGAAAAAATAGGTCATTTTAGAATGAAACTGTTTTCCATTAGTTTTCTTATGACATCCAAAGAAATATATTTTCTTGGCCCAAGTCTATGGTTATGAAAAAACATCTGTGCTTTTTGAGTTATATGCCTTTATACAAACTTTTATGGTATTATACTAATGTATCAGAGTGAGGAATTGTGTCTGTCACATTTCAAGGCCTCTGATATCTCTAAACAGGAAGAAAACAGATATTCCTTTTGTATTTATTCACACATTTGGATGCCGGTTCTGGCATGCCACTAGAGTTTGCCACACAGGTACTTCTCCAGGCAGGTATGGAGATATTAAGATTCAAACACACCTGTACTTGAAATCAATATTTTCTCTCACAAATTCTATAGTAGAAACAATCTTGTAGTATTAAAAACTTTAGTCTTTCGTTCTGTTAATATAAATGAAGACATGTGGGCACTTTTAAGAAAAGAAGATAAAAGCTTTAAAACTATCCACTTAAACCAATCGCCCTAGAAAATCAGGTCAAAGTTACCTAACTGAAGGAACTGAATAAAAGAGGTAAGAATAAGTATGATATATAAACTTACATACACTTTAGTGGCACAAACACTCTGAAAAAAGACTGCATACCATAAGCACTAATAAAAATGTGGTTGTATGAAAGCAGATGTGAGACACTAAGAATTATTTAATTACCATTTTCCTAACATGTCCCATCCTAACAATTTCAAAGTTACAGGTGGAATTCACACTGACTACAGTTAATGTCATGCAAAAGTTTCAAATAAAGGTAAAACTGCTTATTCTACAAAGAAAGAAAATGGGTCTTACATGGACAGAACCTTAGTAACTTAGTGATATTTGAGGATTAAGCTAACATATATGTGAAAAATGACAAAGGCATAACTTCAAAGAAACTACTCTATTCTCTATATATCCTGCCTAGAATTTTTAAAAGTAACGTCTGCCTTAAGCTCCTTTTATTATGGGCAAATATAAACCAATAGCTGAATTGGTCAACAACCTATTACAAGTTATTAAACTGGAACATTTTCACGATGAGTAGAAGAAATCTACAGTCTTATCATGAAAAACACTTATCTTACATAAAACAGCTTCAGAAATGACACAGAAATACTAACAAGCTAAGCACACTTTAAGATTTTTTTTTCTCCTAAATGTAAAAGCTGCCCATAGTACAAGGCCAATTGAAATAACCTACCTATCCCCAGAGTATAATTTTTTTTGTTGAAACTATAAAAAATAAATTGAAAAAAGATGAAGATAACAAGTTGGTGATATTCTCAGTAGGCTGAAAGATTCTTACATTTCTTTATTTTACATATTGGTGTTATTCTGGGAGAAATAAGTTGGAATTAGAGGAAATACACTTTTAAATCATTTATATATCAAAGATTAGCAAGCTTTTTCTAAGAAGGCCAGACAGCAAAATATTATGGGCTTTGAGAGCCATGCAATTTCTACTTAAATAGTCATCTCTGTCAATGTAGCACAAAAGTAGCCACAGACAATAGGTAAACAAATGGACATGGCTTTGTTCCAATAAAACCTTATTTTTTAAAACAAATAGTGGGACATAGTCTGCCAATATTAGGACCTTTATAAAGTTTTCATTAACTATTTTTTGAGAGATCATTATTTGAAATATTACACCTATGTGAAATCACGTCCCTGATTTTGTCCCCTCCTTTTGACAAATGTATTTATGGCTTATTATTTTAGTATGCTAGGGACTCATATCTTAGGTGCTGTCCAAATTGAAACTTCTATGATTCCCAAGAGTACTAAGAGATAAGAACATGCAATTAACCAACATAAATAGAAGTAATATTTTGAAGGCAAGACAGTTACGCTGAGCATTACAATGGATAAGAGCAAAAAGGTTAAGTAGATGTTCTAATGTAAGTCAGAGTGGAGAAATGGATGAAGACACAAGGAAGCATAACTGGCATAGCTACGAGCTATTCAGAAGCAACAACATCAAGCAGACCAACTTGGTCAGGATGCACAGAGCAAGTCACTTTTTCTAAGCAACAATGATTTGCATTTTCACTGTGCAAAGTTCTTTCAGCTACAAACCAAAGAGGTCTTCAAGGGTACGCAATGTGTAAAGAATCGCTGCTCAGTCTTTCTGTCACACCTATACACAGAGATAACCCAATCATTACAGAATAATAACGATCAGCCAGGCAACAAAGACACAGCATGCCTTGTAATAAATGAACAAGAGACTTTTTTCACAGGGAACTTGGCTTCATTTTTTGTTTGAAAGTTGAGGAGAAAAGCTTTGACGTCTTTAATTTGGTATTTGAATTTCTGAACTGAAAGATGTAATGAGCAAATACAGCGAATACTGTATTCCCCAAAGCAGTGAAGGGATAGAAACACAGCTTTCTTTAGGATTTGAGATTGACACTCTAATGGTTACTTTACTACAAATATATTTCCTACTACCTCCTTTTCCCAGTACTGGGGGACTGAACATTGGACCTCTGTACTGAGCTACATCCCTAACTTTTAAAAGTTTATTTTAAGTTTTTATTTATTTATTTTTGGTACCAGGACCAAAAAAGGTACAAGGACCTAGTGCTTCTGAGGCAGGTGGCGGTCATTTTTTGTTTTTTAAATTTTGAAAAAAGGTCTTGCTAAGTTGCCCAGACTGGAACTAACCTCGTGGTCCTTCTGTTTTAGCCTCTCACAGTGCTGGGATTATAGGCATTCTGCACGTTCTTAAGAGAGGACCACAGATAGTCGTCTCCTTTAATAGGAGGGAAACAGCACATGAACACAGATGCAGGTAGGTGAGTGGATGTGGTAGATGATATATGTGAAAGTTTCCTGCTAATTGGTTTTATGAAGTAGGAAGAAAGCTGAAAAAAAGAACAAAGAAAGAAACTCTGAAGGTTGAAGGAAAAAAAGAGGCATGAAGTACTCATCTAAAATTGGGTTAAAAAGATCCATTCCTCTGTTGAAAACTGAGCTCTTGCTTGTCTTTGTATATGGATAGCGGGCGGCCTTGTGGGAGGCTTGCCGTGATCGGTACAGTGGTTAGTACTCTGCGTTGTGCATATGGACAGCACAATCTTTACCATATTTATGTACTGTGGCTTGAGAAACAATGGGTTGCCATGATTACAAATGAAAGGAATATAACTGAAGGTTGATTTTTAAAATTTATTAAAGGTCAGTGACTACATTTTTAACATACTAGTTGATTATGTCACAGGAAAAAAAAGCCCAAAGGTGAATGGAAATTTGAATACTCTTGCCTTTTCACTCCGCCATTTACCATAATAAACCAAATCCTAAAAAACCCTAGTAAAATGTAAAAGAAGGTAAAAGTTATACAAGGAGGTAATTTAAAAAGGATAAAAAGAAAAGGTAGCAGATATGGTCCTACTTTTAAGAAAATGATCCATAAGGAAGAAAGTGCTAAGGACAGTTTGTTATAGAGACATTAAAAAAAAAAAAAAGGAAATCTAAAACAATGTAGATATGAATACACTGATTTAAGAGTGCTCATAAATACCACAAAATGTTTTACCCTTAAGTATTAGGTAAAAACAATATAATCATATATTTCTTTTCAATTATGAATTCATTAAAACTTAACCTTTCCTGATGGTGTCATTTAATAATTACAGAAACATAAGAACTTGAAAAAAATTAACAATACTTCAAACACGATCTACTAGAACAAGTACTGTAACATTTTATTGATTTTTTTTATAACATTAGGATTGACAAAATAGCCCAGGGAGGAGTTCACAAACTCTCATACCCACAGGATTAAAGGCAGGTAACAAAATGAAGCACGATGAGTGCAAGGGACAATACAGAGTTGCAGGAACGGTGGTGAACAGGCAGCCCAAGGGCACAGCTGATATTCAGCTAAAGCCACTGTTGTCACATAGAAAGTACGCTGTTTTGCTAAATCTTTTCATTCTTTAGATGTCCTAGTTTTTGTGTGAAATCTCTCAATGTTTAAAATACCAGCAATGAATTCAAATTTATAAAATTTATAGACCATACAATGCATGTTTAAGGAAGTGTTCAGGACCTGGAGTTTTCTAGTGTCCTTGTATTAGCTATTTCTCCATTTCTTAGAATTAAGGTGTACATTAGCAGGGGCCAATACTTTTGAATGAAAGAATAGCAACACAGGGTAGGTGAAAGAACCTTGCACCAAGATTTCAGGGTAAGCACTGCCATTTATTACTAGCTAGGTGACCTCTTTGAGTTTCTGTTTATTCATTTGTAAAATGCAATGTTATGAAGTACTGTCTAATTCACCAAGCTGATTTAAATAGTAAGTTAGAAAGTAGGTCAAAGCACATCATAAACTATAAAGCTTGAGATAATTATGTTAAATGGCTTTTAAAAGAGATCTAATATAGTAACCTGAGAACATTTTCTATGTTGAGTCAGCTCCCTCATAAAATGAGAATACAGATAAGTTCATGGGGTTTCTCAAATATATTAAAACTGTAAATTCTTCTCAAATGTTGTGTCAAGTAATATTTGGCAAAAAAGCCTTTGTTTAGTATGACCGATTATATTAATGAAGCTTTCTTTCTTTTTTTTTCTTCTTTTTTGAGACAGATCTGCTATGTAGTTCAAGCTGAACTCATTATGTAGCCCAGGTTGGCCTCCTGCCTCAGCCTCCTAAGTGCTAGAAGTGTGCTACTAAACCTGGTGAAGCCCCTTTTATAATTTCTAAAAAGTTGAGTACATTATTGGATTTTGTAAGGCAATGAGCAATTTCATGTAGCCAGTTTAAAAAAACTTATCCAAGGTCCTCATTTTTCTCTCCCTTTTCTTTTATGATGTTTATAATGCAATTCTGTAACTAACCAGGTTTATCTGTTCTCTTCTGTTAGTTTCTGGAAATACTGCCCATAGTGGTCAGAGATAGGAGGCGATTTAGGGAAAAGAGGAAGCAAAGCATCCTGGCTATGAATCATGAATTCAGAATCAGAGCTAAGATAACAATTCTTCCATTTAACAGTTTCTAGATAAAAATTTCGTTCTTTTCCTTGTTACTGGGGATTGAACCCAGGTCCTTTGCAATGAGCTATATCCCTGGCCCTTTTTAAAAATTTTGAAACAGTGTCTCATAAGGCACTAAGTTGCCCAGGCTGGATTTGAATTTGCAATTCTTCTGCCTTACAGGTGTATGACAAACCATGCCCAGGGAAGAACCTTGTCTTATACGCTATGAGAGTCTTCATGTCCCGCTTTCATCAAACCACAGATGATCAAATGCAAATGAAGCTTCTTCGCCAGACTATTTCTTGTAGACTAGTGGGGATAAATTGAATGGTGACAGCTGAAAAGATTTAAAAGGCTTCAAATTAAACTTTTTTAAATTTAAAAGCATATCCTTGGTGCTGCTACCTATTCAAAGCTAAAGAACAATAAACTTGGAAACAAAAATGTATTTACTGGTTTGGGTACCGCCACCTTAAGTTTGGTTTTTAGGGTATTTTGTTTGTTTGTTTGTTTTTAAAGATTCTGGGGATTTAACCCAGAGCTTTGTGCATGTTAGACAAGCACTCTTCCACTGAGCTATATCCCTGGCCCTCATACCTTGAATTTTAAGGGTATCTGAAGATTAAGCAGTTATTATTAGAAAAGCATTTACATAACCTTCCATGTGACACGTATTTCGTAGATTCATAATTAAGATTGTCTTAAGTTAGCAACTTAGGTTAAAAATCAGGAGGACCCCTAATTGTAAGTTTACATACTTTTACTTATTCACCTTAAATTTAACTTAGATGAAAAAAGTAACACTGAATGCAACATTTGGGGTATCTTAAATTTTTACTTGAATTTAATATTTCTTCCCATTTCTCTGTCAATATTGGACAGCAAGTAAAATAAATCAGTTAAAAATACAGCTAATATAAACAGAATTTTTCAAGATAAAATAAAATTTAATTCCTAGTACTGAAGAGATAATGCTCTTAACTTACTTGACTCATTTTTGGATTTTCCTAGAAATCATCAGAGTTAGTATCAAAGATACAGGTAATACCATAGATATCAACTATCTGATCCATTAATTTCCATATACAGTCAAATCAATCCTGTTTTATACAGAAACCAAAACTACACTTTTTTAAAAAAAGTATGTCAGTGCTATACTAGGGGTGTAACTCCTTATATAGCAAGCATGAACATGGCATCAAACTTACTTTTCCAAAGAAGCCTTTGAAGAACTTCCTTTCCTGGAGGAACAGGGGGACAAGTCGAGTGCTATTATTGTATGGGCTAAATGTCCCAGGGTTTCACATCAATAAGCACATATAGAAGATGGGGAAAGGGCAAAGTCGGGAAAAGGAGGGAGTGAGAGTTTTAAAGAGTTATCCATACCAGGTGTGACAAGGAGAAAGGAAGGTGCAAGAAAATGCAGGGAAACACACTGCATGGCCTAAGAATCCACAGAAAGAGAAGAAATCAGAACCTGTATTCATGCAACTAATTTAGTAATCTCTATTTGCTTTTAAAACAGAGATTATCCAAATTTGGCAGCAGAGAAAAAGATGAGGATATGTTGGCTTGGTATGATTTTGCATTTTAAATTCATAGAAGTGAGGAGTAAATAGAGGACCGGTTCTATAAACATTTTTCAATTTAAAATCAGTGGCAGCTAGGTGCAGTGGTGAATGCCTGTAGTCCTAGCTACTTGGGAAGTTAAAGCAAGAAAATCACTTGAATCTCGGAGTTCAGGGCCAGCCTGAGCAACACATAACAACCTGTCTCTTTAAAAATAATATTAAAAAAATCAGTGGTCAACTATGGCCAACTATGTGGAAGTTACCAACTAAAATTCAAATGACTACACAATCACATAAAAATTGCAAGAGGACTGGGAAAGTACCTCAGTGGTAGAGCTCTTACCTAGCATGTACGAAAGTCCTAGTTTCAATCCCCTACCACCACAAACAAAACAAAGTTGCCACACATAAAATTAAATTAGTATATATCAACAGTCCTGGTAATATTTTTTTCTTACTGAGTCATGATGTCACCTAGAGAAGCCCATTCTATGTAAGGGGAGCTTAACCACTGGCTTCCTATTTCCCTATGCATTAGTATCAGTTGGTATGTATTTTTTTGTGCCGATTCATTCTACAACATAAACAGGGAAATAACAGATATGTTTTATTCTAGGCATACTATAAATCACCTATAAAAAACACAATGCTAAGGTTTACACTGGAGCTCAGAAAACATAACAGAACCAAACATGTCTGCAGGCCACAGACAAAGTTTAAGAATTAGGGTTTTGTTTCCTTGCTAGCCCCCCTCTCTCTGTTTGGTAGTACCAAGGATTTAACCCAGGGCCTCATGCATGCTAGGCAAGCACTTCTACATCCCAAGCAACATCTGGACTTTGCTAAACTACCTCCACAATCCCTTTTAATTAATTTTGAGACACGAACACTTTAAATTGCCTAGACTGGCCATGAATTTGTGATCACTTTGCCTCAAGTTCCAGAGAAGCCGTGATTAAAGGCATGCACTATCACATTCCACTTTTCTTTATAAATGCTGTTATTTTAATATAAAGAAATACGCATTGACAATTTTAAATACACAATTCTGAAACTAGAAAAGAGAAGCATATCTATTTACGGTTCAACCACCAATTTTTAAGCACTGTTCATAAAAACCAGACACTAAAATTAAGCTCTGAAGAATTTAGTAAAAGTAAGTGGGTTCTATCCTACCCAGCCTAGCTTAACTTTATATTTCCTACCTGGGATTTAACTGGATTTTAAGCCATTACTATTTATAATTATCAATTTTTATTTTCAGATAAATCTCAAGGAAAAGACAATTGTACTGAAGTTTGACTCTGAGACAAGTTATAAACTCATTCAATACTTTCAAATATTGGAAAGTTTGTTTTTCTCTAAGATATGAAGTCACAAATAGCATCAAGCATTTCCACAAGATATTCTGAACTTAAACTGGAATAATAATAACGTAATTGTGGCAGTTGTTATGACAGTAAGACTAAGGCTATTTCTGCTGCCAAGTTTGGTGGCCCTAGTTTTAATAAACTATGAGTAACCATAAGCTTTGAAGGATGCAGCCAAAGTTAAAAGATCCACCATTCTTGAGGGATAGGAAGGGAAGGAGATTTGTTAATATTTAATATAGCTCCTAGAAAAGCTCTTGTTAAATATGGGACCCTCCTCCTGGACCCCAGGTGTTAATGAAAAAAGTTGACGTGCAAAATGCATAAAGTTATTAGATTAGAGAATATTAATGTTGTTTTTTAAAAAATTAAGTTATTATGATTCTTTTACCTGCTAAAACAAGAACATACATTAAAACAAATATATCAAATAGTGAATAAAAACCCAACATATTAGAAACTGGTAGTATAATGAAGCTAATAATCTCAAACCAAGACAGAGGGAAAGACATTTAAGAGACAATGGGAAGAAATGACCTTTAAAAATAAAAGGCACTTTGGACCAGTGTGAAATAAGAATAACCAAAAGCTTGAAATAATATTTACAAAACCAACTGGTAAACAACACTCCTCACCCTGCAAGTGACTATGCCATGCAGGCAACAAAAATAGGCAACAGCCACTTCTTTCATTTATCTTATATAATCTAAATACTGCAGTAGTTGAATAGTGAAATTATGTCACAAAGGAAACGAGCTGAAAATAGCTATAACACTATGTATAGAAAATGTAAGAATTTTAAAAACATACTTATGCTCTTAGGAGCATATTTCTGAAACTATCTTATTTAGTGAGGGCATATTTTTCATTTGAGAATATAACATATGCAGATAGCTTCCAGCTGAACTTAAAGTAACTTTAAATTATAAGGGACTTATACTTTACTTAGGGGGAAAAAATCCCCTTACATAACTATACTTGCATATTATTTTCTTCCTTAATTCTCCACAAATTTAAAAAGTACTAGAAATGTTAAATGTTTATAAAGGTTGTTCATATGATAAATTTAAACTATTTGGTTTGCTACTGAACTATACAATTCTTTAAATTTTGAAATTCTGATATTCAAACTAATTCCAAAGATGTTGTATTTCTATAGGCTTTGCAGTCCTATATTTGTTTCCATTTATGATTAAAAAGGAAGCTTTATGATTAAAAAGCAAGCCAACAAAAAACCTCCCGAGACACAGCAGTTGGTACAATTTTAGTATCTCACAGAGCAGGCTGAAGATCCTCAGGGATTTTTGTTAGAAGAATGTTGGGGCCAAGGGGAAATGACACCTAGATATTTCTATATAGTAAAAATGTGAAAGGAAGACCAAAATTATGAATCTTCGTGGACTAGTATGATCTGAGAACAACATCCTGAAGACTTCCAGCTTGCTCCAAGATTCTCAGTATAGCACTAGAAAGGGTATTTATAGAAGGTAGAAGTTTCACTGAGCATAATAAACAGGAAGTCTATTCCATCATCCAACAATTCAGCTGCATTTTTCAGTAATACATGTCTGCCAATGCAAAGATATCCAAGTCTCCTTTCCTGGATGGTCAATTTCTAACTTCTTGATGACAGTTCAGAAGTGGTCGATTTTCCATCAAAGTTCAAAAGTTTAAGTATGTTCAGAAAAGCAATCATCTCTATATTATCTGTATCTCTCTCTATAGCAATATCTACCTGCCTACCTACCTACCTATCTTCCTTTCAGTCATACAAGACTACTGGGAAATAAGATCTGTGGAGACATGCAAAATGGTTTTTGAAACTTTAAAAAATTATACATATGATTTTGAAAATTACAAGATTTAATTTGACTACATATTGAGTAGTTGATACAATACTATGTATGTTCATTCCAGAAATAGTTTTTGAGTCAGCTACTATGTGCCAAATATAGTTCTAGATATAGGTATAATTTTTAAAAAGAGGAAATAAAGAATAAAAAATGGCTGGAGGTATAGCTCAGTGGCTGCTATACGATGCACAAGGCCCCGGGTTTGATCCATAGCACTGCAAAAATTTAAAAAACAAATGAAATTTTTAAAAAATGGCAGTTTAGCAGCTATTTCTGAAGAATATAAAAACTATCTAAATAGTCCTATGCCTCAAGTAAAAATGCTTATAGTTAATAATCTTGGTTAAAAAAATAAAAAGTAACAAAAAATCCATTCAGTTAAAAAAATTAGTTTTAAAACTGAATGGTTAAGTAATACCTAACTGGAATTCCAAAGGATTTCAGTTAGATCTTTGCAAAAGGGAAGGGGGCCAAGAGGTAGGGGGCAGAAGGGAGTAGAGGGAGATGATAAAAAGGACAAAGATGTTTTATGTCCATGTACCAACTCCCCACAAGAATGTAATCACTATGTATTATAAGCATGTACAATAAAAAACTAAAAACTGAAAAAGATATTACTTATGGATATCTGGGTTCATTTGTAAATTATATAATAAATATGTTACCTATATAAACATATGCTTCTTATGAAAAGAAAAATTTCAAAACTACACAGTTGGACTGTGGTGCAGGTCAGTGGTAGAGTGCCTGCTTGGCGTGTGTGAAGTCCTGGGTCTGAGCCTCAGCACCACAAAACAAAAAAAGAATTAAACAATGAAGAGGACTATATCCTCATTAAACGACTAAATACCATTCTTCAAAATCTTTTGGATAAACTTAAGCCTTACAGAATGAATGTGAAGCCATAATCGGAATGAGAAGATTCTCTAAAGACTTACTCCACATTGGCCTTTTAATCCTAGATAAGATTTTAATAATTATTTGTAATTTGTTTCAGGTCCATCTAGTCTGTTTTCTATTCCATCTGTTGTTTTCAGTCAGTAGTAACATAGTCTCAAAAGTAGGCCTTAAGTGGGGCAAGACATTGGATTTTTTTTTCTTTTTCCTTTTGGTTGTGGTAGTAGGGAAGGAACCCAGGGAGACCTGAACTATCTCCAACCCCACCACTTTTAAGACAGGGTTTCTCTAAATTGCCCAGGCCAACTTAGTACTTGTGATTCTCCTGCTTCAGCTTCCCAAGTGGCTTGGATTACAGGCACGTGCCACTATATCCAACTTTAAGATGTTCTTAAGATAAATTCATTTTATTATTCTTATAGGTGAACTAAAAATTATTTTGTAAAAGAAGAAAATGAATTTTTATTTTTCTTTTAAACTGGTTTTGATAAAAATGGAAAATTATCTGAGACTGTACTTGAGAAATATATTTAGATAATGTGGCAAGTCTATCAATTACAGTTTTCATGTATAACAGTACATAGATATAAGTCTCAACATTATAGATGAATTGGAGAGGACAGATAAACTAGGAAGGGCTTCATCATTTAAGAATTTAGTCAGACCCAGTAATGAATGATGTAATCCCAGGTACTCAAGTGGCTGAGGCAGGAGGATGGTGGTCCGTCTTAAAAAATAGAAAGGGCAGATGTAGCTAAGCGCAAGGCCCCGGGTTCAATACCCAGCACAGAGAAAAAGAAAAACAAAACAAAAACAAACAAAACTCCCAATTCAAATGACTAAACTATGAGGTAAAGTATATACACAGGTATACACGAATGTATATATATATGTAGGTGTACTTGTGTCTGTATTAAGTTACTGTTATTATTTAGTCTTTGAACACTACCAGTTATTTTTCTTCTCCTTTCCTTTCTATAACAGATTTAGGCATTTGTTCCAGGATAAAATTTACCTGAGAAATTTAAAAATTTTATAAATTTTATGTTAACAGATTATAAATAAGAGGAAATACAGAATACATCAGTGGTGGCAAACCTATGGTACACGTGCTGCAGTGGGCTGTTTATATCTTTGAAAGCTCTAAAAGGTTCGCCATCACTGGAGTATACCAATAAACAGAGAAGTTTAGTTATTAAGCAAACTGAAAAATAAAGCACTAATTAGTTGTCAAACTTGTGGCAGCCCACCATACCAGCAAACCCAAAGCAACATGTATTTAATGGTGTTTGGGGCAAGGGCATGCAGAAGTAATGCTTCAAGCTTTTGCAGCAAAGTGGGGAAAGGCCATGTAATGGAGAGAAGGAAGGTCTGAAGAGGGCTTTCACAGTCTTTTCACAGTCTGTTCCTCAAGCCTATCAAAGTATGAAATTAGCACTTTTTTTTTTTTTTCTCCTCTCAGTACCAGGAATCGAGCTCAGGACCTTGAGCTTGCAAGGCAGGTACAACACCCGTGAGCTACATCTCAGGCTAAATTAGCACTTTAATTTGAACCTTTATGAAACCCAGTCTTTCCTTTTGTTAAAATACAGACATGTGCCTCGGATGTGTTCTATGGCATAATAGGCTAAGGAAACATTATCCTGGAAAGTTGCTTTCCAGTCCAAGAGTGTTAAAGTTTATGTAAAAGGCAGTGGAAATACACTGCTTATGCTAGAGGAGTGTGGAGAAGAAAACTGGGAAGAGCGAGCCAAAATAATCATGAAAACTGCCCCTCCTCCCCCAAACATTATCAGGCATCAGCATGTATCTCCTATTTTTTCTGGAAAACTGTTTCCTATAGAAAATTTAAAATCAGCAATTGTAACCCATTTGTCTCACTTAAGATTTAATTGTAATGATTTTATCTTGATTTTAGAATATTATTCTGTCAACTTTCATACCACTTGCTTCATATAAATTGTAAAGGCACATTTTAGATGTTTGGCCAAAATTGAAGAGGTAGGATAACATGAGATGTTCTTCTTACCAAGCCCACATCTCTGGCCTTAGGAGAAACACTTCTTTTAGTGGTATAGGATTACTAAAATTTACCGAGTACAATCTTGTAAAAATTACTGATAGTATACAGATCAATACTGGCAACCATCAAATACATACAGCTTTCAGTCTTTTTACAGCTTCTTCACAGATGTGCATTCCTCTCGACTCATCAACTTCTACATGGCCAAGGTACTGCAGAAAGAAGAAAATAAATTAGTGCTCTTGCTGTTTCTTGAGTAACTACTACATGGTAGGTATTAGGTGGTAGAAAATTGAAATTCTTACACTGAAGAAACTCACAGCCACTGTAAAAAAAGTCAATCTGATTTTACTTACCCTTGGTATCTTTATATGAATGAGATGTGGAATAATTATATCGAGTTGTTACAGGGGAGTAAATCAAAATAGGGTATGATAGGCACTAAATGTTATTGAAATCTATTGGCTGTGAAGCCTAATATATGTGTAGCCTAATACAGTAATGGTGTCCCACTACTATATAATGGTGTGGGACACTATTACTTCATCTCCTCTACACATAAAAATACCACCAAGACAAAGTATGTATAAATATCATGAAAGAGCACAAAGAAAAACATGCTGAAGAAATAACAGTATTGTTATGGAGTATATAAGAACAGGGCAGATAACTAGAACAATTTTAAAGAAGGTGGTGCATTTAAGTTTTAAAAAATGTGTAGCCTTTGGGCCAGGGACTTAGCTCAGTGGTTCTACCACATGCCTCACAAGTGCAAAGACCCAAGTTCAATTCCTGACACCAAAAAAAAAAAAAAAAAAAAAAAATTGTGTAGCCTTTGCCTGCCTCGCAAGGTCTGGAGTTCAAGCCCCTGGTACCAAAAACAAAACAACAAATGTGTAGTTTTTGAAGAAGGAGAGACTGGAAGGTTAGGAAATGATTATAGATGGAGAAAATACATAAACAAAGTTATGAGTATATAATAGGATAATTATATGTCAATCAGCCAAGTGCGCCTCTTGGCTATAACATGAGATAAATTTGGGAATTTGAGTGCTGAAGCAAGGAGCATGCAGAGAGCTAATAAAGATTTGGGGGGGGGGCAAGGTAGAAATATGATTTAAGTTACACGTTAGTAGGGGACTGGTCATAGGTTAGAAAAGCAGAAAGGATGGTGGCAATACCATAAATACTTTTTAAATAAATCATAGGGTCTGGTTTGAAGGAATATACATTGGTCCTCTCACTGAATGTAACTTGAAAAAATCTGTATAGAATGCATGGAACAGCTTATTTGAGGTAAACTGTAGAAGGTTAATCAAGAAAAACACTAGAATTCAAAGCATCACTGACATGGCAAGAAATTTATTCCCGCCCCACCCAAACCTCTTTGGAACTTCCATCTAGAATTTAACTTGTATGTATAAACTTAACAGCCAGAAGTCCAAAAGTGAGTGCTGGAGCACAGAGGGAATTCTGAAAAATATCTCTAGTTCTAGCTTGAGGACCAGGAATGGGAACTCATACTCAGAGAGTAAAGGAGTCTCAGTCCAATAGTGACAATAGTGACATGGAGGAACAGAAGTAGCAAAAAGTGAAAACCTGAAAGAGCCACACTTGAAATGGAGGGGAACCATGATTCCAGGAAGATGGAGCTAACAACCCTCTTATATTCATTCATTCTCTCACCTCCCACCATTTGATCCTAAATTCAAATGAAATTGTGAGAGTATGAAATAAAACAGAATGATCAAAGAACCATAGGACCAGAAAGAAGAGTTCCAAAGACCTAAAACATTGATAAAAGCACAGGGAGGGAGAAGCTTGGAAAAGTGATGCCCAGAATTCATTTATAAATCTGTGGGCTTATCCTGGAGTTGTACAGGTAAGAATCTGATGCTAATTAGCACATCAAAGATTTTCAGAACTGAACCAATGGAGAGGCCACTTACTTATTAGTTTCTAAGCTGACTAATGGGTGGTGCATACATAGGATGGTATTTTTATGGCTTTCAAAACTAAACTGGTTCAGGTTGAGCACCTTTAATCCAAAAATTTAATTTGCAAAACCTGGAACTTTTTGAGCTATGTCACCACAAGTGGTAAACTCCATGTGATATGTTGTACACAAAACAGAGATGCACTAAAAATACAGCATAAAATTATTTTTAGATCATGTGTATATAAGGTATAGTATGAAACATAAATAAGTTTTATCTTTAGACCTGAGTCCTCTGTCTAGGATGTCTCAATATGAATATGCAAATATTTCAAAAATTTTTAAAAATCAAAATTAAAAAAAAAAAACAAAAAACTCTGGCATCAAGCATTTCAGATAAGAGCACTTAGCCTGTATCAGAACCACAGTCCATAGAAGGCAAGCTGAATTTGCAGCCTGAGCCTTGACTGTGTTCTAAAATAAAATATAAACATTCTTGGGGCTAGTATTAAAACACTCCCCTAGAATGTTTAAGGACCTGGGTTCAGCGGGAATGGTGGCGCATGCCTATAATTCCAGCACTCTGGGAATCTGAGGCAGGAGCATTATGAGTTCAAGCCCCACCTGGGCAACTCAGCAAGACCCTGTTTAAAAATTGTTAAAAAAAAAAAAAGCCAGAGTAGGGAGTGGAGTGAGGATGTAGTTCAGTGGTAGGGCTCCCTTGGGGAACGGAAAAAAGACTCTGAGTTTAATCTCTTGTACTCTCCCAAATCTCTCTATATGATTTAAAATAAGACACAAGCCTTATAACACAATATCCAAAATACTTGGCATGAAAATGCCATATTCACCAATAACAATACTATACATCTATATTATCTAACAAAGATTTTAAAGCAGGTATTATAAAAATGTTCAAGGAAGCAGTGTCTCAACAGAGAAAATATAATTAAAAACCAAATGGAAAGTGATAAATTACTGAAACACACACACACACACACACACACACGTGGGTGTGCACCTGCACAGATTGAACAGGAGAAAGGAGGTGACAAAAGCAAAAGTCTATGAGCTTGAAGATCCATCAACTGAAACTGAATTATATCTTGCATCAAACTCAATGAATAAGAAACCAGATGCCCTGCCCCTTAGGTCTGAAACAAGGCAAGATTGTCCTCTCACTACTCCTATTCAGCAAATTTGTGTTTAAACTTTAGAGATTGCACATATTTTGGTTTTGTAGCTCCTTTGTATGCTTATACATTATAAATAAGAGGTCAACAGTGGTTGAGAAGTGAGCATGGGAAAAAGAAAACAGTATTTACCGATCGCCTCCAACATGCTAGTGACCTAGAAGTTTTTTTTTTCCTTTCCCCTTTGGTAGAAATGAGGACTTTTGCAATGAGCTACATTTCCAACCACTTTTAAATTTTAAATTTTGAGACAGAGTCTCACTGCCTTGCTAAACAGCCCATGCTGGGCTCCAACCTGTAATCCTCTTGCCTCAGCCTCCCAGAGTGCAAATGCCCATTTATTTCCATTTTCCCTCCCACTCCCAGTCTCTTCAACTACCAATCTGTTTTCTTTATAAATTGCCTTTTAAAGGGTGTCACATAAAGAAAATCATCTCCCAAAAAACATGTACAATGAAGGAAAAGGGGGGAATAATGTATCTGCATGTACAAATCTGCTAAAATGAAACCCACTATTCTGTATAACCAATGTGCATTAATAAAAATGTGGAAAAAAAGAAAAATTTCCCCCTTTGCCTTTATTGTGAGTTTGAGCCTTTACTGTACTGGCTTATATTTCAGTAGTATAAATTTGAGTCATCTAAGTTGTTGAGTGGAGTGTATCAGTAGTTTGTTCCCTTTTATAGCTGAGACAGTATACTGTCTGTATGTATCACTAGTCTGTCTACTCACTAGATCAGGAACATCTTGGTTATTTCTGTTTGGGGTCTAAGTAAAACTACTGCAACTATGTTTTCATGTGAACACAAGCTATGTATTGCTGTATCACATGGTAATTGTATGACTAGCTTTAACTGCTGCAATCTTTCCCTGTGTCTGTATCATTTTACATTCCCACAAACAATGTATGGGAGTTTTAGCTGTTCCACATCCTCACCAGAAATTGTATTGTCAGTTTTCCTAAAAAGCCATTCTAACAGATGTATAGGGGCATCTCTTGCAATTTTAATTTGCATATTCCTAAAGACTAATAGTATTGAAATTCTGCTTATGCATTTATTCACATCTTATTTGATCAACTACTTGTTTGTCTGTTTAAAAAAATTAATATTAAATAGTTTTCCTGTTGGGTTTTCAGAGTTCTTTATTTACTCTGGGTTCAAGCCTTTTTTAGACATGAATTGTAAATACACAACTCTTCCAAGCCAATGGCTTGTCTTTTCGTTCAACTATGTCTTCAGCAAAGTTGAAGTTTTCATTTTGATGAGGTTATTTTTTTTCTCCAATGCACTGTGCTTCTGATGTTCTATCTAAGGAGTCTTTGCCTAATTCAAATCCCTACGCTTTTTCCATTAAGTCCCCCAGTAATAGGAAATTTGTTATACTTAATAATAAAACAAGATATTCCATCTAACATAAATAAAACAAGAGATTTATAAATATAGGAAAGCAACAGTAGAACTAAAAATAACCTAATGCAAATCTGGGTGAAGAAGAATCAAAAGACGACAGAGGGACGAGCAGGTTAAATCCTTTTCCTTTATGGGAGAAAATAATAATTAAAAATGGTAATTTAAGACTAGATAATAAAATTGTACTATCTAAAGAAATTAAACATTACTAATGTAGAAGCAAACAAAAATGTTTAAAAGTATCACCTGGAAGAGTAGACATGTTTTTAACCGCAAGCATTATGGTTAAAAAAGGATTATTTTGAGAGAAAATTTTTTTAAGTTTAAATTATTTTAATAAACTGGGTTTAAAATTATATTTCTTTGGAAAATAAGCCTTTAACATGCAGATCTTTAGAGGACAGTCAAAATACAAATTGTAGCAATAGTTAATTTCCAGTGTTAAAATTTCATTATGGAAAAACCAAAGAAATGAGAAATGAGGGCAAAAACTACAATTTGGAGTTGGCATCCAAAAATAACAATAGTAGCAGCCGCATTTATTGTACACCTACTATGGACCAGGCACTATAGTATTTTTAATAGTATTTACTTAATTCTCAGAACTCTCATACTAGGTAGGTAGAGACCAGCCCCATTTTACAGATAAAGATAATGAATGAATCTAAGAG